TAAGTGAAGTAAACAAATYCCCAAAAACCAAAGGCCAAATGTTCTCTCTGATAAGTGGATGCTGATCCATAAAGTGGGGTGGGGGTGGGGGTGAGGGTGGGCGGAGAATGGGGAAAATGGAGGAAGTGTGATTGGGCAAAGGGTAGGGAGGGGAAAGGAGGGGGTATGGGGGCAGAAAAGGTGATGGAATGAGATGGTCATCATTACCCTAGGTACATGTATGACTGCACATATGGTGCGACTCCACATCATGTACAACCAGAGAAATGAAAAGTTGTGCTGCAATTGTGTAAAGTGAGKCAAAATGTATTTGGCTGTCATATATACCTAATTAGAATAAATAAATAAGAATTAAGAGTGTTAAAGCTGGATGCAGTGGCACATGCCTCTAATCCCAGTGACTCCAGAGGATGAGGCAGGATGATTGCAAGTTTGAGGCCGTTCTCAGCAACTTAGTGAGACCCTGTCTCAARATAAAAAATAAAAAGGGCTGGTGATGTGACTCAGTGGTTAAATGCTCCTGGGTTCAATCCCTGGTACCACAAGAAGAAGAAAAAAGAAAGAAAAGAAAGAAAGAAAAAGTGTTAAATAAATTAAGAGACTATGTTTAATAAGGACTAGGAGCTGGGGGCGGTAGCGCAGGCCTGTAATCCCAGCACCTTGGGAGGCTGAGGTAAGAGAATCACAAGTTCAAAGCCAGACTCAGCAAAAGTGAGGCATTAAGCAATTTGGTGAGACCCTGTCTCTAAATAAAAAATACAAAATAGGACTGGGGATGTGGCTCAGTGGGTAAGTGCCTCTGAGTTCAATCTCTGGTAACGCACTGCCCCCTCCCCCAAAAAGAAAAAGAATAAGGACTAGGAGAAAGTGATGAGATTAGGAGGAGGGAATCACAGAGCACAGCTACTGGTGAGGGGAGCCGAGARCACAGGTGGACACTGACCCAGCAGAACAGAGGGTGTAACTCAGAACACACTGGGCAGCTCCCATCCCATGTTACTCCGATGCCCTGGTTGGAGAAAGTGCAGGCTTCTGATCAATGGCAGAATGCGATAGGGAAAAGTCAAACCAAGTAACTGGGGGATTCAGAGCAGGATCCACAGAGCAGCCTCTGCTTTCACCCAGCTCCCCCTTTCTTTCCAGTCGACTCTCATTAGAGCACTTAGGAACTTGCCCTTCCCTGAGGCAGAMCAGGAGAAAGCTGACATGCCCCTTGGTGGCCCACACAGTTGACAACGATCCTGAGAAACTGCAGCAATTCCTCAAAGACAGGTCTGGTGACTGGTATTACAGTGAGGAGAGATGAAAACAAGTCAAGGAAACTTAATGTGGAGACCTCAAGTCTTGCCAGCCATACCTTGGAGGGGGGTGCATTGGAAAGAGGGCATAGGGGACYGTCTTGGACTGGAAGAAAACAAGCTGAGAATGGGAACCTCAGTGCATGCTGGGTGGCCACCTCTTTGTCTCTCCTTCACCCCTGACCCTGTTGGTAGCATGGTTGAGACCATTCTCAAAAAACCAAGGATCTTGTGAATCCAAGTGGCCTCATCTGGGGCAGCATCATGGCATAGAGGGGAGATGGTGGCAAGATGGGGGCAAGCCTTGTTCCCTCGGCAGCTTTTGTATAGTGGTGGGAGTTGGCAACAGTGTGGTAGCCAGCAGCTTGAACACTTCCCCTGCCCCTTGCTGCCACCAAGGAAGGTGGATCCTTCCCAGGGAGTTTAGGCTAGACAGTCAATGCCCAACTATCAAAATTCCACTTGTTCTTCAAGGCTGACCTCATCTGTCACCTCTGTGAATCCTGCTCTGAATCCCCCCAGTTACTTGGGTTGACATTTCCCTATTGCATTCTGCCATTGATTGTCCATAATGTCCCTCCCATTAGACATAAACTTCTCAAGGCTGAGACTATGTCCCACAATGTCCCGAGAAGCCCCCAGTTCATTGCTGGCTCTCAGAGGTATCCACAAAGTAGGACAAATAAATGGAATCTGATGTTGGATAAACCCATGGAGTCTTCTCCTTGCCCCGGGTGGCTTGCAGGTGGTGTACTTGCGTGTGTAGTACAGCCCAGAGCCCCTGAGCTGGAAGTCRCCAGACCTCAGGGATGGCGGGTGAAGGTCAGAGTGTACCAGCTTTCACTCTTTCTTTGCGGTCCCTGTGTCCACATAGGAAAGGAGGGCTGTCTGCACAGGCACATGGATTCAGTCCTAAGGCTTGTTTCAAAGTTCTACTTCCCATCCCAGGAGTAAAGATYGTCACAGCGGGAATGGACAGGAGGAAGATTTCGTCCCCCCTCAAGAAACTCTGCTGTGGGTGAGTGGGAGAACTGGCAGCAAGGGAACACTTACTTACTAGAAATTCAAATGCTTCCTCTCCTCTGTGAAGGTTCCCTTGAAGGGTTCTTTCTGGTGTGCCCTCCTACAAGTGTACTTCCTCGTTCCTCTCTCCCCCCCCCACCTGTGTGTGTGTGTGTGTGTGTGTGTGTGTCTTTGCTAATTTCTCTACAACAGCCCAATAGTGCTGTACCATATGTCTGCCCTCCCTCCTATTCTCATGGGCAATAAGCCATGTGGAGGAAGGACAGGGTGTCTACATGTCATGACATCTAGTGGACACTCTTTGATAGTGAGTGGTTGAAGAGGTTCCATGGATGGAGAGTTTCTGTCCTCTTAAAATTTATATGTTGAAATCCTAACCCCCAATATAGTTATATTAGGAGGTGGGCCTATGGAAGATAATTAGGTCATGAGGGTGGAGTCTTCACCATGGGATTAATGCCTTTATAARAAGAGACCCAAGAGCTTRCCTCTCYCTCTGCTCTYTGCCATATRAGGGCACATGGCAAACCATCTGCAAACCAAGAAGTGGGTCCAGACCAGACACTGGGTCTTCTGGCACTTTAATTTTGGACTTCTCATCTCTAAACTATAAGAATTGAATGGTTGTTGCTTCAACCAAGTCTATGGTGTATATACATGTGTCTATATGTACACACACACACACACACACACACACTTGGAGGTGGAATACTGAGGATTGAACTCAGGGGCACTCAGCCACTAAGCCACCATCCCCAGCCCTGTTTTGTATTTTATTTGGAGACAGGGTATCACGGAGTTGCTTAATGCCTCACTTTTGCTGCGGCTGGCTTTGAACTCACAATCCTCCTGCCTTAGCCTCCTGAGCTGCTGGGATTACAGGCATGTGCTACCACACTCGGCTAGAGTATATTTTTAATAGCAACCTGAACTAAGACCAAGGTGAATGAATGAATTTCAATTGCTGTGTAGATTAGGGAGACAATAAATTCATAGAAGGAATTTTTGTCCTGAGTTTGACCCTTGCTCTGCTACTTATTAGCCATGTGACAAACCATGGGCCTTGTCCCTCATCCATACAATGGGAATAAATAATACCAACCTCAGAAGAYGGGTGAAGGAAGGAGACAATCTAGTCAGTGTCCACTGCAGTGGCTGGCACATAACAGACAATAAATAGGAGGTACTGTGACTACTTAGGGTGTTGTAAGACACAAAGCCATTTGGGAAAAAATACCTCTTCTGATAGGCATTGGGGGTGGATTTGGGGGTGCTGACATTAAATTAGGGATGCCTCTATAGATTTCTATGATCCAACTGCAGCTCTCAGTTAGAGAGAGGCAGAGAAACATCTATTTTGTTCAGGCATGGAAACCAAGGCCTGGCAAATCCCTAGTTGAGTAGATGGAGAGAAATGACTTCAGGAAACTGGGAAGCATTCATTCATTTCATTCATTATGAGGCACCTATTGCATGCCAAGCCCTGCCTAATTGCTTCCATGATAGTGAAGAAGGGCACAGGCTGACCCTGGTGTATACTTAACAAAACTCACTTCCTTAATCTGAGAGAGACCCAGAGGAGACATGAGTGAGTTGCTGTCATCTAATGCYTTCAGTTGATGCAATGATTTAAATGTGTCTCCAGAGTTCCTGTGTTGGAATTCCCAGAACAACAGTGTTGGGAAGAGAAAACTACTAAATAGCAATTAGGTTATGAGGATGCTRCCCTTATGAGTGGATTAATGTTAATATTGTGTGATGGATTAGTTATTCCAAGAGTGTATTTGTGAGAAAAGCAAGTCCTCCTGCCTTGCTCTCATCCACTCTTGACCTTCTACCTTCTGCCATGGGATGATGCAGCCACAGAGGCCCTTGCTTAATGGGAGAGCCCCTTGATCTTGAACTTCCCAGATTCCACAACAGTAAGAAAGACATCTATTATTTATAAATTACCTGGTCTCAGACATTCTATTACAACAGCACCAAATGGACTAAGACAGTGGGTGAAGAAATAAGATACTTTATCTGCTTTAAGCCCTGGAGTGTCTGGGCTAGAAAGGCTTTCTTATTCCCAGTTTACCAATGAAGAAAGAGATAGGAGGTGAGTGGTTAGATCCATGCTGCTCAGACAGCAAGGGAAGGGCTTAGGGCTTTTGAGTTCCCCCACTTTCCCTGACGTGGCAAAAGAGGTTGGAGATCACTTCCTTGCTGTGACTCATCCTGGTACAAATACCTAAATTTGAGATAGGCTCTTGGAACAAGGGCCCTGAGTAGGACAGCTGCCTGCTCTTCATTCATTTGTTCTGTCCTCTGTTTCATTGATTTTACTTCTTATTTCCCGTATGGCTGCTCCCAGGGAGCCATTCCACATTTTCCAGCAGCCTACTGTTTGGCTTCCTCCCCCATCTTATCCCCAGACAATGGGCCAAGTGATCCCATGTGTGTGGAGGAGGATGTTCAGCTTCTGTTTGGGGTCAAGGATGTGTCCATGGAAAACARGAAAGAAAAAACCAGTCATTTCTTCAGACAWGGCTACCACAAAACACCCATGACATGAGGTTTTGGTGTCCTGCCTTGTGGTCCAAACACCAAGACAGCCCTTGTTCTCTCTTGCTTTATGCCTAGAGGGCCTGGGAGCAGTAGCTGTAGCCAGAAAGCCTGGGGCTGTGCAGCTCAAACCTACCACGGGTGCTGCTCTAATGAGCATTTCTTGTGGACCTGGGGGGACAGTGGGAGGTGGGAGGGCTAGAAGCTGAGACTGGTGTGGGAACAGCAATGTGGGAACCAGTTGCATCACTCACTGGCCAAGGCTAATGCAGCCCCTGGTGGTGTGCTGGTCAAAGCTGAGCTTAGGGGATCCTTGTACCACTCTGGGACCCCAAGGGCTTGGGTTTAAATCCCAGTTCAATCTCTTCCTGTTTTTTTTTTTAATTGGGCAAGTTAATTCACCTCACTGTCTCAGTTTCCTCGTCTATGGAGTGGGAATAATAACAGCATCTAAATCCTGAGGGAGGCTCAAGAGTAAGTGAGTGAGTTCCTGAGAGGCATTTAATTAGTGCTCAGTAAACAGGACCTGCTTCCTTCTGGTCCTCTACCATTCCTTTGTCTCCTAGTCGCCCTCCTGCCCTTCAGTGTGTGCCTCAACTATTATCCAAGGCCAACATTTACCTGTTGTCTGTCTTGACACACTGTCAGAAGATGCCTTTCCTTTTCATGCCTCCCACATTTTCACAATTGAATTTGCAATCTGAACTCTCATGAGCTACCCAGAACATCTGTTTTGAGTCAAGGATGTGTCCATGGAAAATAAGAAAGAAAAACCAGTCATTTCTTCAGACATGGCTGCCACAAAACACCCATGACATGAGGTTTTGGTGTTCTGCCTTGTGGTCCAAACACCAGGACAGCCCTTGGTCTCCCTTACTTTATGCCTAGAGGGCCTKGGAGCAGGGGTTAAGCCTTGAAAAGAATTTAACAACCCAGAGGGGTCCTGATCATCAGAATGGACTGTGACTATAGGGCTGGAACAAGGGCACTCAGGGGGCTCAGAGATGTAGCTCTTGACAAACTGGCAAGGGAACATCTTATCCGTTGGCATTGTTCCTCAGGTATGTTCTGGGTCTACATCAGTTCTGCCAATGGGAAGAGCCAAAGCAGAGCTTAGCCTGTGAGAAGTCTGGCCAGTAGGCAGGTGAGTCTCGTCCTCTTTCCTCCCCTGTGTGGGCACACACAATGACCAGATGGCTGAGGGTTGATAAGTGGCCTTCAGAGGCTTGCAGGGTTAATAGTGTTAGTTTTGGCATTAAACCATCCACTCATGAGCTTTGGCATCTTGAACAAGTTTTTAATATCTGAGAACCTTTATCTAATTTGTGTAAAGGGGGCAAGACAACATGCAGGGCTGTGGTTAAGGATAAGCATTATTTAGGGCGTCTCATGCAGGGTCCAGAACACAAATGGGAGAAAATGGGAGCAATTCCTGGTCCTCTTGACGAGGTCCTGGTGTTCTTCCCACAAGGTGGGCTCCTCCCCACTCTGCAGGTCCATGGGGTGCAAGTCTTCCTTCAACGTACTCATACGTCCATAGAGTTCACCCTCATCCCTTTGTTCACACCACAGGAGTCTATTAATTGCCCACCGTGTGCCAGGTACAGTTCTAGTGGCTGAAGAAGCTTTAGTGAACATGCTCCTCATGGCCCCTCACAAAGTTCGGAAGGAGAAGTAGGCAAGCTTTGGACAGGCCTTTCCTGCTTAGCCAGCACACAGCCGTCCAGAAGAGCAGCAGCAGAAAAACCCATCAGATAAAACAGGCCAAGTTTCAAATCAAGGAAGGAAAACTTCAGAAGCCAGAAACAAAAGACCTCACACCAGAGGCCCTGGAGGGGCTGCCTGTGGAAGAAGACCTTGCAGGGCTTCAGGAAGTGGGTGTGGGTCGTGTTCTCCAGCAAGGGCTGCCCCTGAGCGCCTTGTGGGAACTGCGGGAGGTGTCCACGCTGCACAGCAGACCAATCATATCTGAATTCCTAGGCCCAGGTTTCAGTGGGTTTTAAAATTCTCSTGAGGCTTCCTGTTACGGTTTGGATGTGAGTTGTGCCCCTAAAGTTCACATGTGAAAGAGTGGGAGAAGGTATAGAGGAGAAATGATTGGATTGTAAGAGTTTTAACCAATCAGTGAATTAATCCTCTGATATGGATTGAATGAGAAGTAACTGAAGTGGTGGAGTGTGGCTGGAGGAGGTGGGAGTTAGGCATGGCTTTGGTATACATTATTTGTATCTGGAGAATGGACTCTCTCTCTCTGCTTCCTGGTCACCATGATGTGAGCTGCCTCCCTTYGCCACCCTCTCCCGCCATGAAGCTCAGCCTCACCTCAAGCTCTGAGGAATGGAGCCGGCTTTCTATGGACTACACCTCTGGAACTGTGAGCCCTCAAATAAACTGTTCCTCCTCTATAATTTTGCTGGTTGGGTTCCTTTCGTCACAGTAGCAAAAAAGCTGACTAAAACACTTCCAATGTACAATGGAGCTGGTAAAGGTCTTTGTGGTGGGGTAGGTGGGGTTCTAATGTCTGCTCAGGTGGGAATGGAAAGGCAAGAGCCATAAACTTCTTTGAAGGGGGAAACTGGGAACTGGAAAAACTCTACCCATCAGCTTGGCTCCAAGGGCTGAAAGCACTATCCATCTACCTGGGGCTTCAGAGGAAAATATGTCACCTGTGAGAAGTTCAGTGCCACCGGAGAGTGCCAGGAAGTGATCATGTTGCCAGCACCCAGGTAGAGACATCAGCAGTTATGCYGCAGGCTGGCAACTTCCACCACCCAGGGCACAGAGACCCTTCCAGAAAACAACCTCCTCTGGAGCATTCTAGAAGGGCAGTGGAAAATAAACAAGAAAATAATTAAAGTCTATTTTTGCAATTGTTCTATTTTATTTTTAATTGTTTTTAATCTCCCACTACACTTCATTTACACACTGAATTTTATCATAGGTATGTAGGTATAAGAAAAAATAGTGTATTTGTGAATTCAGGCATTCATTGAGGGTCTTGGTGTGTGTTGTTATACACAAGCTATGTGTGTGTGTGTGTGTGTGTGTGAGTTGGGGGGTACAGTAGTTTATGAAGACCACTTACCAGGATAAGGTGACATGCATTAGAAAGTGACTAGCTGAGGGAGACCAGAAGACTCTTCAGGAGGTGACATTCAATTTGAGGCTTCTAAGGAGAAGGAAGCAGCATGCAAGCAACAGAGGGGAAAACAAGTTCAAGGGCGCTGACACCAGAATAATTCTGGAAAGTTCTTAATAAAACAGAAAGGTCTATGTGCTTGGAATACAGTGAGTCAGAGGTGAGGAGAGCCCAAGACCTTTTAAGCAACATTAAGRTACTTGCAATTTTCTTCCTAGGGTGAAGGAAAGCTATTAACAGGTTTAACCAGGGCAATGACATGATCGATGTTGGATAAGCACAAGTCTGAAAACTCATAGCTGCACTCATTTCATTTGCTCCATAGCCCTGATCCTCTCCACACCTCCCCACCCCAATTCTCCAACCCATTCTTGATTTGCATTTTCACTTGCTCCCTGAAGGAGGTAGGTGGGTGTCTTCCCCATTTTATAGATGAGAAAATATCAGAATCAAGGGGCCTTATCCATGTCCCCTGGGCACTTGGAATGACAGGCTTCTGGGTTATCTGGTACTTGTCCCGTTCTTGTGCAGAATGTGGTGCTTATGAACACAATAGTCAGCCAAGCAACCCATCCTGTAGTTGTTACAGCAAGTTATATTCCTGCAGACCTTGGCCACTGGAACAAGAAAGCACAATCCTGTCTTTCCTAGAGTCAATGAGCTTGCCTCAGAGCGGCCGCCCTGCAATATCCAACCTCCATCAATAAGGGTTAATGATTCAGATGGTCCCTTCACCAACTCTTTCCAAAGGCTCTATCTTTACCATCTCTTTTTAGTAAATGGAAGCACGTTAAACTTCACTGAAGGGTGTTCCTGCATCTGTCCCAACTTGACTCACCTGAATATGATGCAAAGGAGTCTGCACCCTTCCTCATGGTAGGGGGCCCAATGTGCTAAGGTTCGTGGCACAATTTTGTCATTTCTGGGCTGTCAAATTTTCTTTTAATTCCTCAAGGACTGGCTGTTCCTACGTGGTTCTAGGACAGTTTTGAAGAACTCTCTTCAAATTTCATATTTGAAAATGTTCTCCTGGCTGGGGCAGTGGGGTCTTTCATGACACAGTTCTTGGAACCTCTATGGAGCCCCATTTCCCATGCCAGTTTCTAGGGGAAGTTGGGGTGGCTGAGAAAGTGGTAAGGAAGATGTAGAAAGGCCACCAGAGCCCTTTAATGTCCTGGTTGGGTGACTCTATTGGGCTTTGGCTAGTGACAACTGGGGTGATTCTAGGCAAACTCTGATTGGGGACTGGATGGCTCAATGCACCATACATGGAAACTGCCCCACCACCTGGACTGCGAAGAATGGAAATTAAACTACCCTCATCACAAAGCCCAAAGGCAACTATAACATTGCTTCTAGACAGTAACCATGGAAACCTCCCATTGTTGTGGATGGGCCACCACCAGAACAGAAGCCCGTTTRTTTTTTGCTTCCCTGAGGGATGGCATCAAGTGCCCGCTTTCCCCAACCCCCGTCTTGTTTCCTTGTTGGCATTTCAMGGCATTGTTCCAGGTCAGGGCTCAGGTGGCAGGAAGAAAGCCTGCAACTTGGCTGTCTGGGTTCCCCCTGCCAAGGAGAGCGCTTTGGGGAAGGGAGGGGACAGAATGGGAGTGAAGGTGGGAAGAGATGACATCAGCATTGCTGGGAGAGACAGCGGGCGGTGCAGGCTGTTGGTGTCATTGGGAATGCTATTAAGGGCATTCATGAAGCAGCAGGCTCGTCTGGAGTCCCATCTGACCGGCATCAATAAACTACCCTGTTCCATTCATTCTGGAAGGGGCGCCTTAATTAGGCATGGAGAGATTTATCAAACAGCAGCCCCTCAGAGCTCTTGGTCTCGCTGCCATCTGGACAAATGGTTTCCTACTCTGTGACCGTGGCAGGAGGAATGATTGATGAGGTCCTACAGCTTCACCCCCCAGGCCTGAGAAAACCCACATCACTTTTGTCCTTCTCAGAAAGGAGTAGATTCTGTTGTACTGATGGGCACAGGGGTTGGGGTTCACGCTGAGGTTTGCCCTCAACCTGAGAAGGAGACATCTATGGGCAGCCTGGCCTAAATTTAGAGTCAGTTTTCAGTTTGCAATGACTCAACCACAAGGTTTAACAGAAAAATCCCTGGAGTGAGGGTAAGAAAACCTGGATGAGAATTCTGCCAGTGAGGCAGGAGTCCTTAGCAGGTTTTTACTTTAATTTGATGATCTACATAATAGGGATAATTATTTCTGCTTTGRCCTGAATTGTATCATTCTTTGGGAGTTCTTATGGCAGTAAAATAATTTCATTAATTATAAAGGCCTCTACAGACATTCAGGATTTAATCCAACAAACATTTATTGAGCAACTGCTGTGTGCTAGGCACCATACCTGGTGCTGTGATGGATACTGATGAATAAAACAGTCCCTGCCCTTGGCGAGCTTACAGTCTAAGAACAGTCATAGGACAAGTGCACAAATAACTATAATACAAGGCAGAATATGGTAAGTGCCATGAGAAAGGTACAAATAAAGTGCTACGGTGGTTCAGCGGAGGGAGAGATCCCAGCGGTTGGTGGATCAGGGGCTTCATGAAAGATGTGGTCTCTGCGTGGGCCTCAGTAGGAACTCAAGAGCGGTCCAGGGGATGAGAGCTGCAAGACCAAAGGCACAGAGACAGGAAAGGCAGGTGTCCCTTCGAGGAACAACATCTTTTCTGGATTGGCTGATGCAGGGTGTAAAGGAAGAATGGAACCTTATCGAGTGGTCGGTAATATCAGGACAAAGACTTGTATGTTTGATTGTGGGCCAGGAGAACTTAGGTCTGTTGAAGAGCTGGAGGTGCAGATCACTGGGCATGCTCAGGAGGGACTGGAGAACATGGAAGCATGCACAGGGAAATGTGGGAGGGGAGGGGCTGGAAGATCCAAAGGACAGTTAAAGAGGTGAAGTTGATGCTAGTGAGAAGGAGTAAGAAGGGTATACGTGGAGGAGGAGTCAAAGATGATTTAGGGTCTCAGGCTGCATGGTTGAAGGAGTCATGGGTCTTCCAACAGAAAAAGGAGGGATCATGGAGGAAGGGGAGACAGAAATGACTCCTTACTTCAGAACATGCTGAGTCAATCGTGCTGCTTCCAGAGCAGACAGGAGGTGTCAGCAAGCATCGCACATGGTAAGCCTGGAGCTGGGGAGAGGGGCTGGGCTGTGGAGGGGAGTGGAGGGCAAGGGGAGTGGAGGGCAAGGCGCCTGGAGAGCGGTGATGGCTGGATCTAAAGGAAGGTGTGAGGCTGCTGATGGAGTGTTTAGGGGACCTGAGGGGAGGCTATCAGTACAAGGAATGTCTACACTGTGGCGCAAGGAGAAGAATGGTCAGATCCTCCTTGATTGCTTTTTTTTTTTTTAGATCAAAGTAGGA